GCCGTCGGCCCTGGCCCGCGGCGATGACTGGGGCGTGGTGGCAGCTCGCCGCTGGAGGCGCAAGGACAAGATCCTGGCGCTCGAGGCGGAGGCAGCCCTGTGGCAGGTTCGGCGGCTGGCCCGCAGCCGCCAGAGCGCCCAGAAGCGGCACTTAGTTTTGTCTGACTCAATGGCCTGGGTCCTCACCGCGTGCAAGGGACGGAGCTCGTCGTGGTACTTGCTTCGGAGGTGCCGCGAGTTTTGCGCTATGAGCCTGGCCCTCGGGGCACGTGTTTCCTTTCGGTGGATTCCCTCGGAGTGGAACTCGGCGGACGAGCCCAGCAGAAGGTATGACCCATCGTCGTCTCATCATGCTCGACACTTTCACACCGCACTTGCTCCGCCCGCTGATCTTGCAGGGGACGTCGATCTTGGTCGCCAGCCGCCGCCTCGGCTCGAGGGTGAGCGCGGCGACGCGCCCTTCCTGCGGCCGATCGCGCTCGCCGAGGCGCGGCTCCACGGGCCCGCGGGCGCTGCAGGGCTTCGCGAGCAGCTTGCGGCAGGGCGCTCCATGCGGCGGGCCTTTGCAGGGCCTTTCGCTGCGGGGCTCCCCGGGCCCGAGCCCGCTGTTCTGCGGGGCGCTGGTGCCGACGCAGAGCCAGAGGCCGAGCCGGGCCCCCTTTGCCCCGAGCCGGGTGCTGCGCCCCTTGGTGGCGCCGGAGCCGGAGGGCGGCGAGGCCAGCTGGAGGCCGCGGCTGAAGGGCATCGCCCTGCCGCGCCGACACGCCTGACCGAGCACGCTGGCTGCAGTGCGCTGGGCGCTGCCCGAGCTGCCGCGCCCGCTGTGCCGGGGCCTACCACTGGCGACGGCGGCGGGCACTGGCTGGCGCCGGCTCGAGAAGCCGCTGTCGCGCCCGCCAGCCCCTCGGTGGCTGGCCGTGCTGATGGCCCTGCGGCTCTGTGCCGACAGCAAGACGGACTACGCCCTCTTCCTGCTGCTGACGCTCAAGACGTGCAGGCGGCCGAGCGAGGCGCTCATCCTCCTCGGCCTACAGCTGGTGCCGCCCGCGCCGGGCAAGAAGGGGGCATGCCGCTTCTGGGCCATCCTGATCCGCGCGAGCGAGCTAGACGTGCTTGGCGAGACCGGCGAGCTCGACACCAGCGTCGTCCTGGACCTGTCACGGCACCGCCTGCTGGAGCTTGCGCTGCGCCTCCTGAAGGCCAGCCGGGGGGAGCGGAAACGGCTCTTCAAGTTCTGCTACACCGGCTTCCTCCTGGTCTGGAATAGCTGTCTCCACAGCTTCAGCCTGGCGCAGCTGAACGTGACGCCGTACTCCCTCCGGCACGGGGGGGCCTCGGAGGACGTGTCCTCCCGGTCGCGGGCCCTCCTCGACGTCTCGAAGAGGAGCGGGTGGCGCTCGTTCCAGAGCGAGCAGTGCTACGAGAGGCACGCCAGGCTGGGCTTGACGATGTGCCGCATCCCCGTGCAGCCGAGCGAGGACGCGCGGCGCCGCGAGCGCGAGCTGGCCCGGCTCTTGCTGTCAGCCTGCGTGCGGCGCGTGCTGATGCTACCATGCTGAAGCACAACGTCTTCGTGGACCTCTTCGCTGGCACTGCGCCGGTGAGCAGGTACTTGCGCAGCAAGGGCTACGCCTGCGTCGCCTTCGACAAGCTGCAAGGACCGCAGTTTGACCTCAGCCGTCGTGAGGTCGTGTTCACCATCGCCGGCTGGATGCGTGCTGGCCTGGTGTGGGCGCTGTGGTTTGCGACGCCGTGCATCACCACGACTCGAGCCCGCGCTGACAGGTCAGGTCGCATGCCGCCGCCGCTGAGGTCATCTGAGCACTACCGTGGCTTGCCTGACTTGTCTGCTCGTCACCGCGCACAGGTGCGCGATGCTAATAGTCTGATCGACGCGGGAGGACGCCTCCAGCAGCTCGCCTGGGATCTTGGTATCTGCTGCGGCGAGGAGAACCCTCAAACCTCCATCCTTTGGTGTTTTCCCTCGCGGTACCGTTCTATCGCTCGCGGTTCCACGGTCGATGTGGATTTTTGTGCTGCTGGAGGTCCCATGCGCAAAAGGACCAAGCTCGTTTTTCAGCATTGTGGCACTGTCGAGGCCCCACACCTGCGATGCCATGGTCGTGGGGGGCTTTGTTCGTTCACTGGCCGTAAACATGTGCACATCCGGGGGAAGATGGGGGGTAAATGGCTCTCTAAAGTTGCGGAGCCATACCCTCCTGTAATAGCTAAGTTCATCGGCGATGTCCTCATGCATGTAGTCCATCGCCGTGCTGTGGCCACGCTCAGCCAATTGTGAATTGCCCAGCTCTGCCAGCTTACTTCATATGAATGGCGTGATTACGGGATTTCAGTCTCTGTGCCTGCGCCTGCGCTATTTCAGCGTGTGCGCGGCGTCCCGCATGATAAATCGCCTGCGTCGCACTTCGACTGACAAAAAGTGCTGGCCTGAGAGCGGGTCATGCTAATGTCAATGGTAATGTTGACGATCGCCATGGACACTGAATCTCAAGCCTTTTTCTGTCCGCCCAAGGCCATCCCTCGCCTCGACACACTTTTTGATGTGGATTTCAGTCTCTGTGCCTGCGCCTGCGCTATTTCAGCGTGTGCGCGGCGTCCCGCATGATAAATCGCCTGCGTCGCACTTCGACTGACAAAAAGTGCTGGCCTGAGAGCGGGTCAAGACTATTTGGGGAGCATTTTTGGATTATTGTTGGGTATTTACCTAAAAGCGAGGACTGATAGGTTTCTAGTGGGCTCGAAAGAAAGCATCTTGACTCCCCAGGGGGGTCTGGGCGGGTGCCGGGAGAAGCCGGGGAACCCGGGGACTCCCCAGGACTCTTGTAGATTTCTATTGTTTCCTATGGATTCCTACAGATTCTGTTCCCAGAACACCATACTCAGGCCACATTTTGAATGCCCGGAGCCAACTGTAGGCCACTTCATGTTCTTCGTCTTCCCAGAACATCATTCCCAGGCCGCATTTTGAATGCCCGGAGCCAACTGTAGGCCACTTCGTTTTCTTCGTGTTCGAAGAACACCATTCCCAGGCCACATTTTGAATGCCCGGAGCCAACTGTAGGCCACCTCGTGTTCATCGTGTTCCCTGAACACCATTCCTGTACCATATTTTGGCTGCCTGGAGCAAGCTGTGGGCCACTTCGTGATCTTCGTGTTCCCAGAACACCAGTCCTGTGCCATATTTTGAATGCCCGAGCTGAGGCAGGCTGAGGCCGAGGCAGGCTGAGGCTGAGGCAGCCTGAGGCTGAGGCTGAGGCACGCCGAGGCAGGCTGAGGCTGAGGCTGAGGCAGGCTGAGGCTGAGGCAGGCTGAGGCTGAGGCTGACGCAGGCTGAGGCCGAGGCAGGCTGAGGCTGAGGCTGAGGCAGGCTGAGGCTGAGGCAGGCTGAGACTGACTGAGGCTGAGGCAGGCTGAGGCTGAGGCTGAGGCTGATGCAGGCTGAGGCGCAGAGGCTGACGCTGAGGCTGAGGCAGGCTGAGGCTGAGGCTGAGGCCGAGGCAGGCTGAGGCTCAGGCTGAGGCTGATGCTGAGGCAGGCTGAGGCTGAGACAGGCTGAGGCTGAGGCTGAGGCTGAGGCAGGCTGAGGCTGAGGCTGGCTGAGGCTGAGGCCGAGGCAGGCTCAGGCCGAGACAGGCTGAGACTGAGGCTGAGGCTGAGGATGATGCCGAGGCAGGCCGAAGCTGAGACAAGGTGAGGCTGAATGGGGGGGGGAAAGGGGGGGGAGGAGGAGGAGGGGAGGCTGACGCAGGCTGAGGCCGAGGCAGGCTGAGGCCGAGGCAGGCTGAGGCTGAGGCTGAGGATGATGCCGAGGCAGGCTGAGGCTGAGGCTGAGGCTGAGGCTGAGGCTGAGGCAGGCTGAGGCTGAGGCAGGCTGAGGCTGAGGCTGACGCAGGCTGAGGCCGAGGCAGGCTGAGGCTGAGGCTGAGGCAGGCTGAGGCTGAGGCCGAGGCAGACCGAGGCTGAGGCTGAGGCAAGCCGAGGCAGGCTGAGGCTGAGGCTGAACCTGAGGCAGGCTGAGGCATCCGTAGGAATCCATAGGAATCCTTAGGAATCCTTAGGAATCCGTAGGAATCCGTAGGCATCCTTAGGAATCCGTAGGCACAGTTAAGCATCCTCAGGAATCCTTAGGAATCCTTAGGATTCCCTAGGAATCTTTAGGAATCCCAGGAATCCCTAGGAATCAGGATACCTAAGGATTCCTAAGGTTTCCTAAGGATTCCTATGGATTCCTAAGGATGCCTAATGATGCCTAGGAATCCATAGGAATCCTTAGGATTCCATTGGATCCTAAGGCCGTTCCCACTGTGACTGTCATTGCGAATGCGACTGCGACTGCGAGAACAGCAGAATTCTACAACTGGATTCTCACCTGCATCTTACGAGGAATGCTTCCAGATATGCTTATACACATCGCTGTTAGGTTGCTTTGCCAGGATAATTTTCATTTTTCGTCGAAAATCCCCCTGTAGGGGGACAGGCCCGACTTAACACTATGCTGTTGATTTGGGGCCCCTTTGCGGAAGCTGTTGTGGCCAGGGCGTTCGGGCGGCCTGGCCGGGGGCCTGCCTGGCAGGGCAGGGGCTGCTCTGGCCAGCAGGGCCTTGGAGGAGCGAGGCGCGCTGCAGCGGCGAAGCGGCCGTGGGCGTTTGGGGGCGCGTCGGGGCCTCGGGGGGCGCCCCCGTGGCCACGGCTGGACCCGCCTCGAGAATTCTGGCCAGAGCGCAAGCACACGCGAGGAGAGGCCCGACGGTCGGCTTCGAGGTGGCAGGCCCGGCGTTGGCTTTCGGGAGGTGAGGCTGCGCTCCAGGTCATTGTCGCTTGGGCTGGGTGCAGCTCGACAGACGGGTCAGGATGAACCCCCCTGCAGTGATTTTGCACCAGGTCGCCTGAGTGCTCAAGCAGCCACTGCGGCTCAAGACCTCTCTCTGATTTGGCATTTGCTCCGCGATCCACTGCTCCCAGCTGGCACCCTCTTGACCATGGTGGCCGCCGACGAGCCCGCCAGCAAGAAGGCCAAGCTGACTCTGCCCTTGCGCACTCAGCTCTTCATCAACAACGAGTGGGTCGACGCGAAGGCGGGCAAGACGTTCGATACCGTCAACCCAGCGGACGAGACGGTGATTGCTTCGGTGCAGGAGGCAGGGAAGGAGGACGTGGACAAGGCAGTGTCGGCGGCGAAGGAGGCGTTCAAGTCTTGGAAGGATGCCGACGTTGGAAAACGTCGCGATCTGCTGCTGAAGCTGGCCGACTTGGTGGCGCAGCACCAGAAGAGGTTGGCCGAGGTAGAGTCTTTGGACAACGGGAAGCCAGCCCACGTGGCGCACGATGTCGACCTCGGTTTCGTGATCGAGTGCTTCAAGTACTATGCAGGCTGGGCTGACAAGGTCGGAGGCAAGGTGATCTCCACCACGTCTGGCACGAGCAGCAAGTTTTGTTTCACGTTCCACGAGCCAGTCGGCGTAGTGGGCGCGATCATCCCGTGGAACTTTCCACTGCTCATGATGGCGTGGAAGCTGGGCCCAGCATTGGCGATGGGCTGCACAGTGGTGATGAAGCTGAGCGAGAAGACCCCGCTGTCGGGCCTGCTGATGTGCGACCTTATCAAGGAGGCTGGCTTCCCCCCAGGGGTCGTCAACGTCGTCAACGGCCATGGCCCCACCACAGGGGACTTCATCGCAAGGCACCCGGACATTCGCAAGGTGGCGTTCACGGGGAGCTCTGCCGTGGGCCACAGGATCGTGGAGGCGGCCGGCCAGACCAATTTGAAGAAGGTGACGCTGGAATTGGGCGGCAAGAGCCCCATGATAGTGTGCAAGGATGCGGATCTGGACCAGGCCGCAACTGCCTGCCACATCGGTTTGTTCATCAACATGGGCCAGTGCTGCTGCGCCTCAAGCAGGATCTTCGTTCACGAGGACATCCACGATAAGTTCGTCGCCAAGGTCGTGGCGATGGCAAAGCGCCTGCGCTCGCAGGGCGACGTGACATCGGAGACCGACATACCCATCTGCGACTTGGGCCCTCAGGTGGACAAACTTCAATTCGACAAGGTTCTCGGCTACATCGAGGCTGGCAAGGCCGAGGGAGCCAATGTGGCGCTCGGCGGGGGCCGCTTGGGCACGAAGGGATACTACGTGCAGCCCACGGTCTTCACCAACGTCCAGGACAACATGAAGATCGCCAAGGAGGAGATCTTCGGGCCAGTGATGCAGCTCATGAAATTCAAAACTCTGGACGAGGCAATCGAGAGGGCGAACAACACGCACTACGGCCTCGGCGCGGGGATCTGCACCCGCGACGTTGGCACGGCACTTGCGGCAGCGAGGCGCCTGGAGGCTGGGACCGTCTGGATCAACTGCTACGACGACTTCGACATGGCGGCCCCGTTCGGCGGCTTCAAGACCAGCGGCTGGGGCCGAGAGAAGGGGGAGTACGCGCTCGAGAACTACACGGAGGTGAAGTGCGTGATGATGCCCGTCGACCCCAGGAACTGAGATGCACCCGAATCCCCACGCGGCCGGCAAGGTCAGGAGGAGGAGGAGGCGGACGGAGGGGGGGGTGGAGGTGGCGGAGGAGGCACAGGGAGGAATTCATACAGGCGCGAAGGCGCCCTCCGCCGTGGGACCCCCGAAGCAGCTGACCGCGCGGCATTTCATTTGGGCCCGTGGCGTGCGAGGAGGCGCGGGCCTTGGCTGGCCATGCCGTCCCGGCAGGCAGTTTTGGGCACCAAAGGCTCAGCTGCACCCTCTGTATTTTAGCACACGCTGTCCTTCGCATTTCAAGCATCGGTTTCGATATCCGTGCAGACGCACGAAAAAAAGGTTGCTTGAGGAGATGAGGGAGGAGGAGGAGGAAGAGGAGGAGGAGACATGCGAAAAGAAGGGGAGGAGGAGGAGAAATACAAAAAGGAGCAGTAGGAGGAGGAGGAGGAGGACGAGGAGGAGGAGAAGGAGGAAGAGAAGTAGGATAAATGCGATAATCAGAAGGAGGAGGAGGAGGAGGAGGAGGAGGAGGGGGAGGGTGAGGGAGAAAAGGACGTGATGATGATGACGATCATGATGATGATGCTGATGCTGATGATGCTGAAAATGATGATGCTGATTATCATGATACGGATGATGATGATGGTGCTGATGATGCTGATGCTGATTTTGATGATGATGATGGTGCTGATCAGTGATAAGGATGATTATATGCTGCTGCGGATGCTGATGATGTTGATGCTTATGCTGATGATGGGGCTGCTGCTGAGGATGATGTCGCTGCTGCTGCTGATGATGATGAGGAGGATGCTGTTGCTGCTGCTGATGATTATGACGATGCTGGTTATGATGATGTTGATGATTAATGATAATGATGATGCTGCTGATGATGAGGATGCTGATGATGATGACGAGGATATGCGATGCTGGTTATGATGATACTGGTGATGATGATGATGATGATGCTGATGCTTGTGGTGATGAGTGATGATGATGCGCATGATGCTGATGCTTATGCTGATGCTGCGGCTGCTGCCGATGATGCTGATGCTGATGATGCTGAACATGCTGATGAATATGTTAATTGTGATCGGGATGATTATGATGATGATGATGCTGGTGCTGATGATGATGATGGTAATAGTGATGGTGATATTGATGCTCATGCTGATGATGCCGATGACAATGATGATGGTTATGGTGATGGTGATAATGATGGTGATGGTGATGGTGATAGTGCTGACGATGGCGATGGTGATGGTGATGGTGATGATGGTGATGATGATGATGATGGTGATGGTGATGATGATGCTGAGCATGCTGATTCTGCTGATGTTGCTGTTGCTTCTGCCGATGATGATGATGATGACCATTCTGATAATGCCGATTATGCTGATGATGCTGATCATGATCATAATGCTGATGCTGCTGATGATGATGACGAGGATGATGCGATGCTGGTTATGATGATGCTGCAGATGACGATGATGATGAGGATGGTGATGATGCTGATGACGATGAATATGCTGCTGAACATGATGCTGATGATGATTGTTATGATGCTAGGGCAATGATGATGATTATGACGATGTTGATGTTGATGCTTATGCTGCTGCTGCTGCTGCTGATGGTGGTGATGCTGATGATGATGATCATGCTGATGATGATAGTTGTGATCGGGATGATAATGGTGATGATGATGATGATGATGATGATGATGATGATGATGATGATGATGATCATGGTGCTGATGGTGATGGCGATGCTGATGGTTATGCTACTGCTGATGATGATGATGGTGGTGATGATGATGATGATGATGGTGGTGACGGTGAGGGTGATGATGCTGCTGATGATGATGATGATGGTGGTGATGATGAGGATTATGATGATGGCGATGGTGATGGTGATGGCGATGCTGATGATGCTGATGATGATGGTGGTGATGGAATGGTGATGATAATGATGATGATGCTGGTGGTGGTGATGATGATGCTGATGCTGGTGATGGTGATTGTGATGCTCATGATGATGCTGATGGTGATGATGCTACTGATGATGCTGATGATGGTGATGCTGCTGCTGATGATGATGCTGATGATGATGCTGCTGCTGCTGCTGCTGATGATGATGATGATGATGATGATGATGATGATGATGATTATGGTGATGGTGATTGTGATGTTGGTGATGGTGTTTGTGACGGAGATGCTGATGATGAGGAGGAGGAGGAGGAGGAGGAAGAGGAGGAGGAGGAGCATGAAGACGATAATGACGACAAGCCTCGAGCCTCGGGCCGCGGCGGCTTGCGGGCGCGCTGGCCCTGCGGCGGAGAGGGCGGCTGGGGCCCCCGCTCCAGGCGCTGGGCAGCAGCTCCCCGGCGCTGCCCGCGCTGCCCAGCGCCCGGGGCGCCGTGCCCGCGCAGGCAGCGCCCCTGCGCCGACGACGGCCGGCTACCGCCGCGCGGCACTGCGCCGCCGCCACCGCTGCGCCGCTGCGCCGCCGCCGCCGCCGCCTCGCCGCCGCCTCGCCGCTGCCGCCGTGCCACGCCGACGACCGCCGCCACGGGCCCGCCGCCCGCCGCCCTGCCGCCGCGCACGGTGCCCTCGCCAATCCCCAGGAGGCGCTGGACCTGCCGCGGCGGGGCCAGGCGCGCCAGGCGCTTAGCGGGGCCCTGGGAACGACACAGAGATCCAACGCACTGAACAAAATCAAGACGCAGGTTTTTCGCTCATTTCGGCCCCTAGGGGCCCTCGCCGGGCCTCGGGACCGTCCAAAAACGACTCAGGATGAAAGACCAGTACTGGGGAGTTGGTCGAGACCTCCGGGGACCGCCGTTGTTTTACCGGCTCCGGCCGGCTCCGGCTCCAATCCTGGAGCCGTTTCTTTGCCGCGTCCGGTCGCCTCTTTTGCCGCTTCCATCTCTCAGGAGGGGGAAAAAAACACAGACACAACTAATCGTCGATTCCCATGAAAATATGGGAAAATATGGGAAGTGGGGGCGAAGACAAAAACCAAGAAAATATGGGAAAATGTGGGGAATCATGTTATTCGTGTGTATCTAGTTGTGTGTCCCAGGGCCCCCTCCATCTCCAGGGGGGGCTTTTCCCCGGCAGCGGTGCGAAGAAACGGCCCTGACGTTTCCGCGGCCCACGGGGCGCCCGCGTGCGGCGGGGGCGAGAGGCGAGGATGAGGGGCGGGGGGGAGGGCGCGCAGCACCTCGGAGGGGGCGAGGAGGAGGGGGGCGAGGGGCGAGGAGGAGGGGGGCGAGGGGGCGAGGGGCGAGGGGCGAGGAGGAGGAGGGGGAGGAGGAGGAGGAGGGCGAGGGGCGAGGAGGAGGGGGGCGAGGAGGAGGGGGGGGGCGCGCAGCACCTCGGACAGCAGGTCTGTCCAGGCCCCGAGGCGACACGCGCCGCGCAGGCCAGCCGCCTCTCGAGGCGGGCGGCAGGCGCCGCTCACGAAGCAGGGCTGGATGACCCCCCCCCCTCCGGCGTGGCCTGTATAGGGGCCCCCGACCCAGAGATCCAGCGCATTGAGAAAGATCAAGACGGAGGGTTTTCGCCGTTTTCGGCCTCTGGAGGCACTCGCCGGGCCTCGGGACCGTCAAAAATCGACTCAGGACGAAATGCTGGTCCCCGGGATGGTGTCGAGACTTCTGGGGACCCCGCATTGAAAGAATCACGATATCGGATCTCTGGGTATGTCGGAAGCCTTGAGACGGGGGTCAGTGCAAACGGGGGTCAGCCAGAGCGCCGGATCTTGCAGGATCCTGCAGGGGCAGGGTCGCACTGACCCGGGTTTGGGCGCAGGGTCCTGCAGGATTTTGCAGGATCCTTCGCATTGGCTTGGGTTTGGGTGCAGGATCTCGCAGGATTCTGCAAGGCCTAGCTGACCCGGGTCTGGATCTGGGTCAGAAGATCCCCGGATATGTGGTGATTAGGCCGTTCAATGGCCCGTCTGCGAACCTGCGGCATTAGCACCGCTTTTACTTCCGCGCTGGCATGCGCGATGCGGAGACAGAGAAAAAGTGAGTGGCACCGCCTCGAGGCATTCACTCCCGCTGTCTCCCGCCTTGGTCCTATAGTGTGAGAGACCAGTCAAAAGTGCGGATGCTTTCGAGGTTATTGATCCTTGTGGCATGAAAGACGATCCAATGTTTGTATGCGTATTCGGACGGTTCAGTGCTTACGCATGTTAGCCATGGGATAATGATACGGCAAGACGTCGGGGCGTCTTCCTTGAACCGCGTGGCTCCGCTGTTCTGCTGTTGAATAAGAGTTTCGAGCAGGCGCATTGCGTGTACAGCGGGGTTGGGTCCGCGCAGGTCGCCCCGGGGGCCTTTTCCGAAAAGCTTGCCGCACTTCCTTTGCCGTGTGAGTGTGCCATGGTATTTCTGTCCCATCCACTGTCGCCGATAAGGTTGAACAGATCGTTGGGGTTTGGGCGACGCACTGGTCACGTTGGAGGGGGTGGAGAGAAGGGGGCGGAGTCAATCGGAGGAGGAGCGAGGAACACGAGGAGGAGGCGGGGGAGGAGGAGGAGGAGGAGGAGGAGGAGGAGGAGGAAAAGTGAGGATGAGTGAGGAAACGGGAGTAGAGGAGGATCGCGGAGCGAGGTACGAGGAGCGCGGTGCGAGGAAGGAGGAGCGAGGAGGACAAAGGACGAGCGAGAAGGGACGAGCGAGGAGCGAGGAGCGATGGGAACACCACAGAGCAGAAGCAGGGGCGAGCAGCGACGAGGGTGTGGAGGACGGCCGCTGCCTCCTCGTCTCGGCCCGTCACCTTCAGGCGCCGGCGCTGGCACCGAGTTCCGACGCCGAGCTGCCCTCCCACAACCACGATGACGCGCCGAGGGGGCGGCCGCGGCGGCGCGGGGGATGTGCTGCCAAGGGGGCCGTCGCAGGAGGAGGAGGATGAAGGGGGCCCAGGAGACAGGAGCGAGGAGGAGATTTTAGTTGGAGGAGGCGGAACAGGAGGGCGGAGTGAAGGAGTGAGGGGCGAGGGATGGGGGATGGGTGAAAGGGGGGAGACGGAAGTGCAAACAACTGGGAGGGGGGGATATGGGGATCTGGAACAGGGAGGAGGGATGGGCAGGAGTAGATGGAGGGTGGGGGTAGGTGCGCGGAGGAAGAGAGGATGAAAGGATCGATGGGGTGAGGATGAGGATTATGGAGTGATGAGGAGGCGGGGGGGAGAAGTATGAAGAGGAGAACGGTGATGAGGAATGGAGGAGGAGGGGTATGAAAATGATGGTGGTAAACATAATCATTGTATGGAGGGAGAATAGGAGGAAGAGGAAGTGCCATCGACATGATCGTCTTCCTCCTGTGCGCACTGACCCCTCATCCTGCAGGAAGGGGTATCAAGGGTGAGGCAGTAGGGGGGGCGAGGAGGAGGATGCTGATGCTGCTGCTGCTGACGACGATCAGGATTCTCACATGGTGGTAATTGTCATTCTGCCGATGATGATGCTGACAATGATGCTGATGGTGTTGGTGATGATGGTGATGGTAGTGGAGGTGATGGTGATGATAGTGATGAAGAGGATGATGGTGACGATCATGTTGATGATGCTGCTGATGATGCTGCTGATGATGATGCAGCTGATGATGATGATGATGATGATGATACTTATGCTGATGATGATGATGCTAATGCTGATGCTGCTGATGATGATGCCGATGATGCTAATGATGCTGATGCTGATGACGTTGGAAATGATGATGGTGATGATGGAGATGATAATGAGTATAAGGATTGCGACCATGAGGCTGTCAGGCGTTTCTGTTGAGGATGCTGATGGTGATGCCGTAAACGTCATTGGTGATGCTGAGAGGGGCTGTAGGTAATGATGCTAGGGGTAATGCTGGGTATGAGGACGATGATAGGGATGATGATGCCAAAGGTGGTATTGGTAATGGCTAACTACGGCGATAATGGCAATGAAGAGTATGACGGTGACGGTGTTGCTGCCGTTATTGTTGATGCCGAAGAGTAGTTCAAACAGAGGAAGACAATCATGGGGGTGATGGCTGTGAAGTGGAGGAGGGGCAGGAGCAGGAGCAGCAAAAGGACAAGGAGGTAGAGGCGGACGACGACGACGACGAAAACGACGACGACGACGACGACGACGACTGCAACGACTGCAACGACTATGACGACGACAAGGGGGGGGGGGAGGGCGGCGGGAGAAGGGAGGAAGGGTGGCAAGGAGAAGGAGGGGGCGGGGCCGTGGGGGGGAGGAGGAGCACGAGGAGGAGTGCGAAGAACCGAGGTAGGGAAGTGGCGGGGCGAATAGGGATGAGGAGGATGTGGTCGCCGTCCTCCTCCTCGCCCTCCACCTCGCCGTGCCGCCGCTCCTCGTTCTCCTCCCCAGCCGGGGCCCCCGAGCCCGAGCAGTTCAAGGCACGCTTCCTTTCACTGCGTGCTCATGCAGAGTGTAGCAGTCAGCGGATCGCCTTTTGGCTCATTCACTCACTCCCGGCCTCCGGCAGGAGGGCGCCCGCAGTTCTCAACACACTACCGAATTCCTCCGGGGGCCTCCTCTCTCGTCCGAGGTCTCTTGCCACAATGGGCCGCCTGCTCCCGTCACAGAGGCCGTTCGGAAAATTCAGCTGTTCAGCGAGCGCAGGTCTTTGTGGCTTCAGACCGACGGGCAGATCCATGCGTGCGAGGCTATACTCACCTGGGCAGGCAGGGTCTCCGCTTCAGAACATATTGTTGCTCTCCGGCTTTCCGCGGGGGAGAGGAAGATCATGCGAGGAGTTGGAGGCGCAAGAACGAAGTGGGGCGCTGGGCGGTGGTGATGGCGGTGACTAGGATCATGACCATGCCTGTGGTGATGAGGATTGTGCTGCCGATGGGGATTTCGAGGTTGACGACGATGGTGACGATGATGATGATGATAATGATGATGATGATGATGATGATGATGATGATGATGATGATGATGATGATGATGATCATGACCATGATCATGATGATGATGATGATGATGATGATGATGATGATGATGATGATATTGTTGATGATGATGATGATGTTTATGCTGAGGATGGTGGTAATGATGGTGATTCTTAGTATTGTGATGATGATGATTCTGATAATGAGGATGATGATGAGGATTATGAGACTGATGATCATGATGATGCCGATCATGCTGATGACGGTGATGGGGTGGTGGTGATGATGATGGTGATGGTGATGATGATGTCGATGATACTGATGATGGTGGTGGTGGTAGGAGTGGTGATGATGATGCTGATGATGATGCTGATGATGATGACGATGGTGGTGGCGGTGGTGGTCATGATGATGATGGTGATGATGGTGATGCATATGAGTGGTGATGCTGGCGGTCCGCGTGCTGCTGATGCTTGTGATGTTGTGCGATGGCGATGACGATGCTGATGTTTACCCCGGTGGTCTAGGTGTCGATGGTGGATGACGATGGTGGCGATGGCGATGATGTCGGCAATCGTAAAGCTGGCCATGATGACAATGCAGGCCTCCAGCGGTTTCTTGTACCATTAGTTATGTGATCGGTTTGCTCAAGAGGGTTACGCTATTCCGCCGAGGCGCCATCACGAGGGGGAGGAGGAGGAGGAGGAGGAGGAGGAGGAGGAGGAGGAGAAGGAGGAGGAAACTCGAGGAGTAGGAGGAGGAGGAAAAAGAGGAAGAGGATTAGGAGGAGGAGGAGGAGGAAGAAGAAGAGGCGGAGGGGGAGGAGGATGGGGAGGAGGAGGGGGGGGGGAGGAGGGATGAGGAGGAGGAGGGGAGGAGGTTGGAGGAGGAGGAGGAGGAAACTCGAGGAGGAGTGAGGAGGAGCAGAGGATTTGCGAGGGGGAGGAGGGGCGAGGCTCGGCGCACGAGGAGGAGCGATGAGGACAGCGGGGCGAGCTTGCCGCCGTGCGCTGGACGGGAGCAGGACGTCATCAACGCGGACAACACCGGCCACGCAGTCGGCGCGCGTTTCTCCTTCCCTGCGGCGAGGGGGGAGAGGCGGGAGGAGGACGAGGACGAGGACGAGGAGGCGGATGAGGAGGAACTGGAGTTGGGGGGGGATGAGGAGGAGGGGGCTGCGGAGGGAGGAAGGGGAGCACCTTGGACCCCAACTCCTCTCGCCCTGGGAAGCTACGGTTCTCAACTGTTTTGCTTTCTCTCGATGTTCGGCCTCTGGGTGACTGTTTGAGAGGCTCCGTGGCCACTTGGAGGGGCGGTTTCAGGGCCCCTCGGTGGCATAGCGTATACCATCTTGATATATGGGAGGTTCTCGTTTGTTGGTGGCATAAAGGACTTGTTGTGGAGCGTCCCCGGGTCGCCCAGCCGGTGCCGGGGGGCGTTGGTATGGTAAGAACGAGTGCCGCCCGAGAGGCCCGCGCGTCGAGATATGATCCAAATGCTGAGGTGGTCCAGCCCGTTTCGCATGATAGATCGTCACAAGTTTGCGTTTTGAGGAGACCGGATCTGCGATAGTCCGGCCCGCTCCTCCTGAGACATCCTCGCAATTCTGGGCTCCCAGACGCTACACGAGAGGTGGTCCAGCCCATTTCGCTTGACACGTCGTCGGATCTCTCGGCTCGGAGATGCCGTGACCTGAAGTGGCCGCTGCTTCCGCATGCTTATTTCGGCACACCCCTCAAATGTTTCGCGGGCCCATAGGGAGCTCCGCCGAAAGCCCCAGTGGCAGGGTGTATATATATGTCTATAACATATATATATGTCTATATATATATATATGTGTATGTCTATGTCTGTATATATATATATATGTATTGTTAGCCTGCGCCATCTTGGAGGACATGTTCGGTTCTTCAGGGGCCACTATGGAGCCATAAGTGCCACGCCATGAGATCGTTCACCTTTAGTTGAGCGTGCCGTTCGCCGAGAATGCGGTGACATTAACTTGGCCAGCCAATCGAGCACAATCGTTATTGGTTGTGGACTGGTATAGCCTTCACGAGGGGAAGCAGATTAGCTTTGTGGGTGGAAATTATCCTGGCGACGGACCCAAGCATATGCAGTTGTGGGTACCGCAATTGTGAATATTTTCTTCGGTGGAGCTCCCTATGGGGCCACGAAGCGCTGCACTGGGTGGGGGGGAACGCACGCGGGCGGTAGAACTGGGGCCGTCGGGCGAAGCACCCATGGGGCCACGAAGCGCCGTAGTGGGTGGAGTGAAAATGCCCAATTTGGCGTGTGGGACGCACGCGGGCGGTCCCATTGGTGGCTTCGGTGGAGCTCCCTATGGTGCCACGAACCGTATGGGCGGTGTGCCACATGTGCTTACCAGGACGCATGCGGACGGTCCCACTGGGGCTTCGGTGGAGCTCCCTATGGGGCCACGAAGCGCTGCACTGGGTGGGGGGGAACGCATACGGGCGGTCGAACTGGGGCCGTCGGGCGAAGTTCCTATGGGGCCACGAAGCGCCGTACTGGGTGGGGAGAAAATGCAAAACTAGGCGTGTGGGGCGCACGCGGGCGGTCCCACTGGTGGGTTCGGTGGAGCTCCCTATGTGGCCACGAAACGTATGAAAGGTATGCCAAATTTGGCTTCCGGGACGCACGCGGACGGTCCCACTGGGGGTTTCGGCGGAGCTCCATATTGGGCCACGAAGCGTTGTACTGGGTGGGTGGAAGTGCCAAATTGGGTTTCCGAAGCACATGCGGACGGTCCCACTGGGAGCTTCAGTAGAGTTCTTTACGGGGTCACGAAAATGCCAAGATGTTGCTTCAGGGACGCATGCGGACAGTCCCAGTTGGGGCTTCGGTGGGGCTTTCTATGGGGCCACGAAGTGCCGTACTGGCTCGGGCGAAAATGCCAAATTTGATTTCCGGGACGCACGCGGACAGTCCCAGGGGCTTCGGTGGGGCTCTCTATGGGGCCACGAAGCGCTGTGCAGGGAGGGGGAGGGGCGCATGCAGACGGTAACACTGGGACCTTCGGTGGGGCTCCCTGTGGGGCCACGAAGCGCTGTACTGGGTGTGGGGGACGCATGTGAACGGTAGCAGTGGGACCTTTGGCGGGGCTTCCTGCGGGGCCACGGAACGCTGTACTGGGCGTGGGGGACGCATGCGGACGGTTGCACTGGGACCTTCGGTGGGGTTCCGTATGGGGCCACGAGGCAGGCGCTGTACTGGGTGGGGGGGACGCATGCGGACGGTAGCACTGGGACCTTCGGTGGGGTTCCTACGGGGCCACGAAGCGCTGTATTGTGTGGGGTGGGGGGGGGGGGGGGGGCGCATGCGGACGGTAGCACTGGGACTTCGGTGGGGTTCCCTATGGGGCCACGAAGCGCTGTACCGGGTGGGGGGGAAGCATGCGGACGGTAGCACTCGGACCTTCGGTGGGGCTCCGTGTGGGGCCACGAAGCGCTGTACGGGGTGGGGGGGACGCATGCGGACGGTAGCACTGGGACCTTCGGTGGCGTTCCGTATGGGGCCACGAGGCGCTGTATTGGGTGGGGGGGGACGCATGCGGACGGTGGCTCTGGGACCTTCGGTGGGGTTCCCTATGGGGCCACGAAGCGCTGTACTGGGTGGGGGGGGGGGACGCATGCGGACGGTAGCACTGGGACCTTCGTTGGGGCTTCCTATGGGGCCACGAAGCGTGTGAGGGGTGTGCTGAAACGGGTGATGATGATGATGATGATGATGATGATGATGATGATGATGATGATGATGATGATGATGATGATGATGATGATGATGATGATGATGATGATGATGTGATGATGGTGATGGTGATGATGATGATGATGATGGTGATGATGTGATGGTGATGGTGATGGTGATGGTGATGGTGATGGTGATGGTGATGGTGATGGTGATGGTGATGGTGATGGTGATGGTGATGGTGATGATGATGGTGGTGGTGGTGATGGTGATGGTGATGGTGATGGTGATGGTGATGGTGATGGAGGAAGGAGAAGGGGGAGGAGGAGAGGAGAAGAAGGAACGCGGGGCGACGTATCTTCAAAACGAGGGCCCAACACCACAGGATGGTTGGGAAAAAGAATAAGTGCCACGCCATGATTCTGGGAACAAGCTGGGACACAATTCTTTCGGGCCATTCTGGGGCCACTACTTGGGCACAGGCGCGCGCCTCGAATCGCCTGGCACCTCGCTCGCTCGCTCCTCCCTCCCTCGCCCTCGTCCCTCCTTCCTCCCACCCTCCCCCCCTTCCTCCTTCGTGTCTCCCACACCCCCTCTTTCGAAAAGGGAGAAGCGCCACAACTGGAAGTTTGGGAGCTCTATGCGGATTTCTTGGGTCGGCGCTGGGGCCCCCCTGGCAGCGCCTCCGGCGCCGGAAGTGGCGCGTTCCGCGCGCCAGGGAGGGGGGCTTAGCGCCGATCCAAGAGACCCGCGCTCACTTCCGCAACTTCATGTTCATGCAGTTTGTCGTTCGTCTATCCTCCCTGCTTCCTCCTCTCTCCTGGTTCTCCCCCCCAGTTCCTCTCGGCTTCTTCCTCTCCCGCCTCCTCCCTTTCCCTCCCCTCCCCGACGCCGACGGCGTTCCGCCGCCTCTGGCAGGCAGATCCAGCAAAGCCTCCAGGGACTTCAGACCCCACCGCATGGTCGTGCCGGGGCATGGGGGCGGGCCGGCAGCGACGCGAGGTGTAGGGAAGTGGAGGGAGGAGGAGGAGGAGGAGGAGGAGGAGGAGGAGGAGGAGGAGGAGGAGGAGGAGAAGGGGGAGGCATTAGCGTGAGAAAGATGGTGAGTAGGGAGGTGGCAGAAGAAGAAGAAGAGGATGGGGAGGACGGAGCGAGGGACGACGGAGGAGGCAGACAGGCAGACATGCTCGTGGGATCCCCCTTCAGCTTGGCCTCTAACTGAGAACACAACTCAGCAGAGCTTAGATCCTGAAGGGCGACACCGTCTCGGACGCCAGTCCAGGCGTGGGGAGCCGTGCACACGCTGCGGGGGTAGAGCCCGCCTGGAGGCCCCCCCCCCCCCCCCCCCCCCCCCCCCCCCCCCCCCCCCCCCCCCCCCACCCCCCCCCCACCCCGCCTGGAGGCCCCCCCCCCCCCCACGGAGCCCGAAGGCCAGACTGCCTCGCGGGCACCCGAGCAGAGGGGGCCCCCAGTGAGGGACAGCCCCCTGACGCACCGCCCCGTGCAGAGGCGGGCCCCTCGCCACGGGCATTTTGGCCCCGGGGGGGGGGCCTCCGAGGAGGCTGGGGCCGACCTCTCCCACGGGAGCTCCGACCGCGCCCCCGAGGCGCTTGCCGAGGGAGGGGCACCGTCGGAACAGAGGGCAGCAGGGGGGGGGGGTCTCGGCGGCATCGAGGCGGCCAGCAGCCTGCAAAGCCTTCACTCTCTCGCGCTGAGACCAGTCGAAACTTGCCGACCTCAGCCACCAAACAGCGGAACTGCAGGAGCCGCAGCCTCGTCATCGACCACACTCCTCACTTCAGGACTCGTCTGGCCAGGACCTCTGTGGCTCACGTCTCGTTGAGCATCTTCGAAAGCCGTCGATGGAGGGATCCTGGAGGAGCTGGGCCCGCCTTGCGCACCGCCTTCAGGTTTTTGTTTATCGCCTCGCATAGACGGGCCGCCGGCTTGGCTCCATGCATGTGCGAGAGCTCCACGGCGTACATGATGAGGCCACTGGCCATTGGCTGTCCCCGTCTATGTCTGCTGATCGTCCGTGCCTTGCACATGCCTTTGTCGGGCTTCCCCTTTGCGCGCTTTCCATTGGAAGACGGTGACGAGGGTAGTGGGTCGTGATGCCATCCTTGATGATGGCGGTGATGGTGATGACGATGAGGAGGAGGATGGTGATGATGCTGATGATGCTGCTGATGATGATGACGATGATTATCTATAGATATATAGAATCGCTTCGCTCATTCCGCCGGCCCGTATTTTGCCATCGTTTGCGGTTGGGTGATCGGGGCGTAGCTGAAGTATGCAGTTGTCTTCGGCGTATCCCGCCAGGTTGGCCTCTGTAGGACCTCTGGAATGCAGGTTTGAAGCTTCTAGAAGCGTCCAGGGGGTACTTTCTTCGGAACCTCTGGGAGCCTTTGGGGGCCCTCTGGAGGCCTCTTGGAACAAGTGTTCTAGTTCCTTGGAGCGTCTTGTGGCGTCTGTGGGGCTCCTTCGAAGCCTCCTGGGGCCTCGTTTGGGCCTTTGGTGGCCTCTTGAGGGCCTCTTGGAGGCCTTTGGCGTCGTCTTGGGTGCCTCTGGGGCCTCTTTGGGGGCTCTTGGGGAGCTCTTGGGGCGGGAGGCGGAGGTGGTTGATTGCGGCTCCTCCCTCCGAGGCCACAATCTTCGTGAGGGGTGTCGAAAAATGGCCGTTCCCTGGAGCGCTCTGGGGGGACCTGACCAGGACCTGGCCGGGGTACTTTTCGTCCGGGGGCCCCCAGGGGCAGCCCCGCGCGCGCGAACTAGAAGTATTGTTAACCAGTTACTGGAGATCTTAACACGCCTCTGGCCCGTTGGGTCGGCGAATTCGAAACGCTTGGCGTATCCCCGCCATTCCGCTCAGCGTCACCCAGCCTGCAGCTGCCGTCTGAGGGGGCCGGCCGGCGCCTCTGCTTTAGCCAATTAGCCTCGCCCGTGGCCCGGACGTTGCCCTCGCCGCCTGATGCTTGTCTCGCGGCCGCGACCAAAAAAGCTTCACGCGTGCGCCCGCTGAAAAAAAAATCCCCACCAGCCCGTCCAGAAATGAGTCCCAGGGGAGTGGAGGTGATGAGGGAAGCGGGGGAGCATGCAGAATAACAAAGGGCGGCGTAAGCAGACATATGCCCCAAGAGGGGGAGGATGTAGGAGGAGTCGTCGTCGTCGTCGGAGTAGGAGGAGGAAGAGGAGGAGCAGGAGGAGGAGCAAGAGACGGAAGGGGAGGGGAAGGAGGAGGAAGATGAGGAGGAGGAGGAGAGGGAGGAGGGCGAGGACGTGGAGGACGAGAAGGAGGAGAAGGAGAAGGAGAAGGAGGAGGAGGAGGAGGAGGAGGAGGAGGAGAGGGATGGGGGAGGAGGGAGGAGGAAGAGAAAGAGGAGGGGGAGGAGGAGGAGGAGGAGGAGTAGGACAATGGCGAGCTTGGGGGCCTCTTGGGCCGTCTTTGGGGCCTCTTGGCGGTCCCGGGGGCCTTTTGCGTATCTCTGGGAGCTTCTTGGGGCCTCTTGGGGGTCTCTTGGGAGCCTCTTGGAGGCCTCTTGGGCGCCTCTTGGGGCCTCTTGGGGCCCTCTTGGGCTTGAGGCGCTCTTGGGGCGCTCTTGGGAGCCTTCGGTGCGCCATTTTGGAGGAGATCTATCCAAGAAGGGGGGGTGGTCAATTAGCCTTGCCCCTCTAGAGTGCATCGAATCGTCTCTTGGGCCCCCAAAGACGCCAAAATCCATCCAACACCTAGGGAAATCACTGTTTTTGTGTTTTCTCGCCTTTTCGCTCCTGGAGCCGTCTTGGGCCATCTTGGACGCCCCAACGACCCGCGGAACCCTCCGTCCAGGTCAAGGGGGGGGTAGGGGGAGGGGTAAACCCTTTCCCGAAGAGGAAGAAGGGGGTTGGAAGAGGAAATTCTCTAGACCAGCGACGCCCAGAGGGCTGGTGGGATTCGGATGATGATGAATTTGATGATAATCATGATGTTGATGGTGATGACGCTGATGGTGGTGGGGATGATGATGATGATGATGATGATGATGATGATGATGATGATGATGATGATGATGGTGATGATGAGGATGAGGATGAGGATGAGGATGAGGATGAGGATGAGGATGAGCATGAGGATGAGGATGAGGATGAGGATGATGATGATGATGATGAGGAGGAGGAGGAGGAGGATTATGATGACGTTGATGATGATGATGATGATGATGGTGTGAAGAGTGCACTCCCCTGCCCCTCTGCCGCCCGTGCCACCATGTGTATGTTGTACACGCTTGTCTTGTTTTGTGGCATGCACGCTGCCCGCCGCTGTTTTGGCCCTAGTCCTAGGGCCCTGGGACGCACCCGCAGTTGGACTGCCGCGCGGTCTTTGCTGAAAACAACTGCACTGACATTGGTAGCGGAGCCAGTAAGCTCCAGCGGACGCACTGCGTGCTCTGCTTCGGTGGTTGTGACCACCCACGTGGGCCGCCATGGCCGCCAGCCAAGACGGCTCAGACGTGGAGGCTGCGTCCTCCGCAGGCACAGGTCCCCCGGACCTGCATGCAGTCCTGCGCGTGATGGCCGAGACCCAGCGGGAGCTCTTGGCCTTGCATCGGGATCGTGGCGACGGCGGTCCCAGACGTACGCGTCTACTGCTGTCGCAGGTGAGGTTCCCAGAGTTCGATGGTGGAGTCGGTACGAGTACTAAGAAGTACCGAGAGTGGCGCAAGGAGGTTGAAGTCATCCGCAACCTCAATCAGCTCTCAGACGTGGAGCTGGGCCTGATCATCTACAGTCAAGTGACAGGTCGAGCCAAAGAGCTCATCGAGGTGCTTGACGCGTCGGACCTCCGACGCGAGGAGACGCTCGAGACCATCTTTGCTATCTACGACGACGCCTTCGAGAAGATGGATCACGAGCGCCTCGATCAGGTGCATCAGGATTGGGAGCGAGCACGCCGTCGAGCTGGGCAGCCGATCATGGATTGGACCACGTACCTGCGCAAGAAGCGCATGGAGTTGCAGCTCGAGGATCCCACATCAGCGATCAGCGATCGCGCATTGGCAAGCAAGATGCTTCGTGGCGCTGGACTGTCGCAGAAGGAGCGAGCGCAGGTGCTCTTCAACTGTGGCGGCATCTACGACTCGAAGCGGATGGAGGTCGTGCTGAAGGCAGCCTATTCGAAGGTGCACGACACCGAGAAGCGCTCAGTGCTCCCTCGCCGCTCGCCGTTTGCGGCGCAGCGTGAGCACGGGCGCTCCTCTGGGAGTTCGGGCGGTCGCTATCCGCACCCTCCCATGGCTCGTAGGCCATGCGTGCTGCGAGGACGCCCTGGCCAGCACGTACACGAGGTAGAGAACGGCGAAGACTACGATGAACACCACGGCGACCTCGAGGAGGCGCAGCATGACGAAGATGAAGCAGACGACCAGGACGATGGAGACCACGGAGGGGCCGAGGGCACCTTCCTCGAGGAAGGCGCCGAGGTCGAAGAGGAGCTGGCGTCGGACAACGACGGGCCAGATGACGAGGAGTACGAGGCACCGGAGGATCTTCAGGAAGCGTTCTTGGCCGGCTGGAGGGCCAAGCAGAAGGCGGCGGTACAGCGTCAGAAGCGCGGGTTCGTTGCTCCTCGGCAGCGGGACCCCAAGAAGATCAACGCTAGCGGCTTCTTCCAGGCTGGTCGGAAGCCGACAGACCAGCGCAAGGCTAACAGCCGGTGTGCCGACTGCGATCAGCCTGGCCACTGGCGTGGCGACCCAGAGCGCCCCAAGGTGAAGAGTGGCGAGCGCGAGCCGTACAACAAGATCGGGCCTAAGAATGGCCAGCCAGCGTCGCCCAACCAGCGGAGCTCTGTGAAGCCGCCGGCGCCTAGGCAGGTGCATGGACCGATCGTCCACTGGGTTGGCATGGCAGGCAGTGCCGAGGAGCGTCGTGGCCGCGCTCCATGGCGCCGTGCTCCCCAGTCGGCGCCTGCCCAGAGGCA